ACACACACACACACACACACACACACACACACACACACACACACACACACACACACACACACACACAGTGAGCGTGTGCCATTAGTAGATGGCAGGGCTTGGTTTGACAGAGAGCGATTAGCTCCCTATCATGTGTATTGATCACCATGTCCTGGCTGCTCCCCGAGAGGAGAGGCTGAAGGGGTTTAACAAGGCTATTGGGACATACACGCACACACCCTCACACATGCGTGCACACACTCACTATTTGCCAGCGAGTTTATGCGCCTCCACGGAAATTTTTCATCCATCCCGTTGTCATTGGTTTCACTTTTGGAAACCAACGTAAATAGAGTGACTTTGGAAATACTTTTCTCTAAAAGTTTCTGGGAACTATTGCCACACACCGCTCTGGTGTTTAACTGGTTAGCCAGCTGAAAATGGTTTTATCTTCAATAGCCTACCAATACTACTCCCAGTTTAATTTGACCTGACGTTTGAGATGCATCTGAAAATATTCCTGTTAACACTTTCTTTAACCAGTGTATTTAAAAGCCCACAATCATATTGTATATATGGTGGAATATAAGTTAAAACAGAAATATAATAAAACAAGAAGAACTCAGAGAGTGCAAACCTCCACCATGGCAGCTCACTCTACAGTATTTACTTTTAATAATAATAGTATTGTATTCTGTACATATTCATTTAGTTTACATTGTTCTTTTTGAATGCACTTTAAGAAGTTTGTAGTGCAATCAAAATAACACATTTTGGTGTTAGTTTGAAATAAGACAAAAGTCAAATGTAAAGTTGAGGTCAGAGGTCAAATGTGACATGATATTTGGATGCAAACTATAATGTGATATTTTTAAACCACACATACCATTTTCTGAAAGTTTGACCTTGAAGTAGAGCTTAGAGGTGAAATTTAGATTCCCCGTATGTCATAGTTCATTCCCTATACGACAGTACAAACTGTCAATACAAATAATGGCAATAAGATACATAGTTTTAAATAGCGCTGTTACTTTGACCTTCAGATCAGTTTGTTAATCAGAGGTCAAATGTGACATAATATTTTAAATCTTTATACAGTACTTTCTATGTGTTGACAATATGTACCACACTAAGAATGATAGTTCCTAAGGATTTGTGTCAATTTTCACCCAATAAATCGTTAAGTTGACGTAAGCAAACTTTGAATGGATTGTTAACACGACCCCACTCTAAACTGCTACAACGTTTCAGCAGAATTCACTCAAAACCTGTTAAAAACTACAGAGACAAAATGACGACACGCATGCAAATGCTACCAGAAACATAACCTCCTTTGCAGAGATAACTATGTTTTTTAGAAGTGCTTTGCAACGTGCAAATAAAAACTCAGTGAAAGGCAGCTGCAAGCTTTTGCTCACTGATGCTGTCCATTGCATGCCAACGATAAAGTCTCAGTGGACCCCAGTGGCTGGCTCATGCTGTATTGGGAAACTGCTCGTGTCCGTTTTGCATTAGCATGATGACATTTATGTGAATGTCCTGAATAAATGCGCATGAAAGGTGAACTATCAGTTCTGTTATTCTGATTATCCAGAGGAATACATATGTACCAAGTGCACTGTTGTGCTACACAGTATATCCTAAGTAAAATGCTAGTTTGGAGCTGCACTCTGAATTTGGTACATGTTTTTGTATTCATAACAAACAAAACAAAGCAATAGTATAGCTCACACATAAATTAGAAACAATGTTTCTCTTGCTAAATAGGAATTGCCTAAATGTGTTAACAAATCCAAGTGTTTGTTACACTTAGCTTATTATGCTTTAAATCATCTTAAATTAGCATAAATCAATACGCTGCACCTAAAATAAACACCCATTTGATTACATTTGCAGATTTGTGCACATCACATCTTCTCTCTGCCTGAGTTCTCCTCTGTTTCACATCACGTATGACGAGTTCTTAGCTTTAACAGCTGTCTTCTTTGGGAAGGTTAGACCAGCTCCTAGCTTTTGTTAATTGAGTATAATTGAAGATGGTGAAGAGGGAATAAACCAAGCAGGCTTTTAGGAATATAAAAGACTGCCGCCGCCTCTCAGTAGTATTTATTTTCAACCTCTTCCACTCTGATTTAAGTGTAAGAGGACAATAGTGGCCTGACAGTGATATGTGCGTGCGCGTATGCGTGTCTGTGATCTGCTGTTTGATTTACTTCACCCACCTTCACAAGGACCAGCCTCTTATCAGATCAAAGCTGCGAGCAGCGGCCTATGAAAGAAATCGTGCGTGCGCGTGAATGCGTGCACATGCGTGTTGTGGAGGACAGAGGTGTAGGTGAGGCGGGGGTGTTTTTGTTGCTTTTAACCCAGGACAATGGAACGGCAAAGGAGAGAGTAAGCGAGTACTCTTTGAACTAATGAAGAGGAAACCTTTTACTCTCCTCCATAAAGATGCCCAGCTCTCCCCGTGCTATGGATTTCCCCCCTCTATTTCAAAGTAGTGTGAAGCAGAATAGGACAAAATATTTTATTTGTTCGGTGCCTCTCACTGTCTTGCTTTTATCCTCGTAAAACTACAACAAGAAAAAAAGTTAAATTGCAAAAGCGAAATTGAGACAGATGATTAATAGAGCTGTAGTGCATGAGCATCTTTGGGATGAGCCAAAGGTGATTTGTTAAGGTGAAGTGATGTTTTTTTTCTTCATATTTCCAAATCAGTGTAAAGAAGTAGTAAAGTGCCCATTTAAAATATGCCTTACAGCCCAATATGTGATGGGTTGCTTCCATTCATGGAGTTTAAATCAGGCCACAGCATCTTCTTCTGTATCATTTTATTCCAAATGTCTGGACTTCCAATGATTTCCTGTGAACAAGCAGTTGGCGACATGTAGATACACATGAGGTGTTTGCAGGTACGTTATTTGTGTGTTTCACTGCAGGAAATTTGCCAAAAAAGAAGTCGAACTAGCTCAAATATTCAAACCACTTCAAACTTGACATTTACTGCTTCAGATTCCCCCGCAATACACCCACTAAGAGTGAAATAAATTGAAATGCCTGTATAAGAAAAGTGGAGAACACAGACATGAAAATACTCACAGTTACCTTCATTTATCAGTGAGAAGATTACAAACTAATAGTTCCAGTTTACAGGTGAGCTCTGATTCTTTTCGTTGTGTGCTTTCCAGGTTCACTGGGTGCAGAGACAGCACTGTCATTACAGAGACAAACGAGTTCCTGTGACAAGACTGGACCATGGCACTACCAATGGCAAGTTTGACTAATACTGTTCCCTGACTAATGCTTTGTTTTTCACTGTGCTGAGTTATTAGTTTTTGCTGAATTTCTGTGATTTTCACAGAAAACTTTGGTTCAAGTCCCTCTGCCATGAAATACCCATTACTAAATAAACAACTGAAGGCGGGCACTGGTTTAGCTCACTGGGATTAGCAGGCGACCATGGCTGAGAGCGGCCGGCCCGGGTTTGAATTCGACCCATGGCTCTTTGCTTCTCCCCTCTCTCTCCCCCTCTGCTTTCCTGTCGTTCTTCGCTGTACCCTTTCAAATAAAACTATAAAAAGGCCGTAAAACATAAATAAACAACTGCAGTTAAAGTATTTCTTAGTTTGGCTTTCAATAGCCAGTTGGCTTCATCAGGCTCAATTTCAGAAAGGTTGGCACATGGTGTGAAATATAAATAAATACAGTAGAATGCAATGACTTGCAGCTCTCATACACCAATTTTTCATTCAAAACACAACATATTGTTTTAATTTAAAGAATGTAGCATTTTAAGAAAAATATAAATCATTCATATGTCATTTTGAAATTGCTGGGCAGTGACACATCTCAATAAAATTGGGACAGGGCCATGTTTAACATTAGCATCCCCTCTTGTTGTTCCATTTTTGTCTGGTATCAGATTCTTCCTGCTCTGCAGTCCTGGCTCTCCTTTGGCATATTTTTCATTTCATGATGATCTAAATGTTCTCAGTTGCTTAAAGATCTCAACTGCAGGCGGGTCAGTTCAACGCTCAGCTTTTGTACTATGCAGCCATGCTGTTGTAATAGATGCACTGTGTGTGAGTTGGGGGGTGGGGTGGGAGGGGTGTTTGTTTTGTTTTTTTGCTTAAATATGCAAGGCCTTCGACGAAAAAAGATGTCATCTGGTTGGGAATGCATAACCTGCACTGATCCAGGCTGTCCAGATGTGCAAGCTGCCAATTCCATAGGCACTGATGTACCCCCATACCATCAGAGATGAAGGCTTTTAAACTGAGCGCTGATAACAAACCAGATGCTCCCTTTCCTCTTTAGTCCAGGGGATGCAGTGTTCGTGTTTTACAAAAAGAATTTCAGATTTTGATTTGTCTGACCACAGGACAGTTTTCTGGCCCAGAGATAATGGTTTCTGGACCATGTTCACATATGATTTCTTTTTTGCATGATTGAGCTTTAACCTGGATTTTCATTGGCTAAAACAGAAGCTGCATAGGTGCAGCATAGGTGCAGCTTCTGTTTTAATGCTCATATGCACACAAACCCAGAGGGTGAGAAGAGAAAGAAGACAAGAAGGAATGAGACTCCTGGCTTTGTTTCCTTGTTATGAGGCAAAACTAATGTAGCCTAAGCTAGTGAGACCAATCATTGTGGGTTATCTGGCCCAAGGTAATGTTCATTCTGCAGACATCAGTGGATGGATATCAGCTGAAAATGTGGTAAAAGTGGCATTAAGCCTTTACATGTTTATTTATTCCTTTTTTGAACTTCTTCATTGTCTTTTGAGACATTTTTGCCTGTAAAAATGGGTAATGGGAAAAGTAGCTAATGCAAAATGTTAGTTAATTTAACAGCTGCAGCATTCGTATTTAGCAAAAAAAAAAAACAATTTTGTATGTGTTTGCAGGATTTTGGCTTGAAAATACAATGCTGGATTTGTGCAGATATCACAAAAATAAAGTCAGAGTGGGTAAAGTAGTATGTATTCAATTTTTTCAAAATACATTCTTATTATTCCACGAAACATGAGTGAGTGCCTGAGGCTATCTGAATCAGCTAAGTTTGGTGTAATGAATTCATAAAAGTCTGCCAAATTTTACCTTGATACTAAGAAGGTTTTCTCAGTTACAGGTCCTCAGAGAGTACATAAAAAATGAGTATGCCGCACTGAAGTGAAATGCAGCAATCGAATGATTGAGTCTAATGTTTAGCAAAATGAGAAAGAAGACAGAAAGAGACATGCCAAAAGAAAACATTATTGTGATGATACTTTACTGAGCCACAGTTTTTAAGTTTAATTATCTATTGTCATGTTTTGCAGAAGTGATGACCCAAAAGCAGGCTGTACATGTAGATGGATGTAAACAAAAAGCAAACCTTTATTTAGGCTGATAGCAAATTCCAAAAAGTCAACAAGATCCATCAGCTGGCAGACAGCACACAGGGACAACAACAATACAGCACAACAAAGAATAGATGCAAACAGAGGGGTTAAATACAACCACTCAGGGTAGAGTGGAAACCAAAGGCAACACAGCTACAATCAGAGCTGATGAGACAACAGAAGTTAAATTAAACACAAAACACAAAAGATGACCAAAATTAAACAGGAACACTTAACACAGAGATTGAAACTCAAGGAATTACATATAAACAAAACCACAAACAGGAACTAGATTCCGAAACTAAAACCTGATAATAGCAACATAAAGAAACCAAGCAGGAAACATCTGTTATAAGAAAAAGAAAACCCAAAAAAGCACAAAAACAAGAACCCACAGCTAGTTTCAAAGCTCAGGCATAAAAACAGCAGAAACAAAAATAAGGATAATAAATATTTAATGGTGTGAAATAGCCACATACTGGCTCGGGTCCTCTACCAGAGGCCTGGGAGTTTGAGGGTCCTGCACAGTATCTTAGCTGTTCCTAGGACTGCACTCTTGTGGACAGATCTCCGATGTTGTTCCTGGGATCTTCTGGAGCCACTTGCCTAGTGTGGGAGTCACTGCACCTAGTGCTCCGATTACCACAGTTACCTTCACCCTCCACATTTTCTCGAGCTCTTCTCTGAGCCCTTGGTATTTCTCAAGCTTCTCGTGTTCCTTCTTTCTGATGTTGCTACATCGATCACTACGGCCGTCTTCCTCTGCCTGTCTACCACCACTATGTCCGGTTGGTTAGCCACCACCATTTTGTCCGTCTGTATCTGGAAGTCCCACAGGATCTTAGCTCGGTCATTCTCCACCACCCTTGGGGGCATCTCCCATTTTGACCTCGGGACTTCCAGGTTATACTCGGCACAGATGTTCCTGTACACTATGCCGGCCACTTGGTTATGGCGTTCCATGTATGCCTTGCCTGCTAGCATCTTGCATATATATATATATATAATATATATATAATATATATATATATTATATATATATATATATATATTTATATAAATATATAATATATAAATATATATATATATATATATATATATATAGACAGAATTACAAACATTTTTAGTAGTACAGTTAAGTAATACTTTTGATCATAGGTATATTAAATATCTATGTGTCTTTTGCAGGTGTTTTACTGTGTTTGAATAGATCACTGTAAGCTTTACAACAGTAAACCACTGATGACTGTGTGTCTGTGTGTGTGTGCATGTTTAGACATCTTTGTGAGGACAGAAAACAACTGGCATGCTACTATACTAGTGGGGACCAGTGGTCACTTACGGGAACAAAATGACCATTCTCACAAGTTTTGAGGCTCAAAATGTGGTTTTAGTGTTAGGGTTACAATTACGTTAGGTTTAGGATTAGGCTGGGGGTTAGGAATTCACCTTTGATGGTTAGCGTTTGGGTAAGCGGCTAGTGAAAGCATTATGTCAATGAGATGTCCTCACTAAGATATTAAAATGAGCTTGTGTGTGTGTGTGTGTGTGTGATGGGAATTGGTGGCTGTGTTTGCAGAAGAATGTGCTGGCTCACGTCCTGCTGCAGTGCTCTCAGTCTTTCTTGTCTGTTCTTGTGTATTATCATCCGCTTAGCTTCCGCTCTGACAAATGATAGAAAATGTACAACGGAGATAAAAAAGCCGTGATACGGTGGATCAACATCGCAGCTGTGTGTTTATGTACATAAAGAATAAAGAAATAAAGAAAGAGAATGCACTCTTTGGCCGATGTGAACTTTTCAAGTACAATGTTTTTGCAAGTATTTTTGAATTCGAGCTGCCAATGTTCATTAAAGTGTGCCAGTATTAAATATCTCAAATACGAGCATTCCACCCTGCCAAGTAACATGCTTGTTACTTGGCAGGGTGGAAAAGCCTCATTATGGCATCCTAAACTCTATTCAAGCACAGAATACAAATGGTAATAGTAAACTGAATTCATGATTTGGTACAATAAATTTTCTATACAGCATTTGAAACTAGGAAAGTAATCAGGGTTTCCTTTGTTAACAATTCATAGTGGAAAAATGTAAAAGATGGTCAGAAAAGAAAGAAAGACAGAAAGAAAGCCTTGAGTTTTGCCTTCAGTAACCATATATATGGTATGGGCATGTTTGACAGATGGTGTGGTATGCTTTGGATCACAAAACTGTTTCTCTCCTCCTCTATACTTTCCTCTTCCCATCATTCTGACACAAGTTAATCTTGGTTTCTCTTCCTCAAGCCTATTTGTCAGAACAGTTTATTAGAGGTTTTCTGACAAAGTCTAATCTGGCCTTTATGTTCTTGAGTGTAACCAGTGGTTTGCACTTTGTTGTAAATTCTCTGTATTACCATTCATTAAGGTATATCTTGATTGTAGACTTGAACAATGATACTGCTGCCTCCTTGACAATGTTCTTGACTAGGTTGGGTGTTGTGAAGGTGTTTATCTTAATCATGGGAATATCTAGTAGGAGGAGTTGGCCGTCCGGCTGCGGTCTGGGGTGTGGGGCCTCCCTGCTGCTGCGGAGTCGGGGTGGTCTGCCTCTCCCCACCGCAGGGAAAAGGGTAACACCACCTGGGTCTGGGTGCAATTCCCCCCTCCAGGGGCAAGGGTACCTAGACCCGGTTTGTAGAGTACGCTTGGGGGGTGTGATTGTGTGTACAGCGTCTCTTTATGTCTGTCTCCACATTGGTTGAGTGTGGAGTGAGTGCATATGAGAGCATGAGGGTGGGAATGGATGTTTGTGTCTGTGTGTGCCTGTATGTCTGTGTCTATATGTCAGGTTGGGTATCAGACGCCACCTCTCTGGGGACACCTCAGGCCCTCCAAGGTTTGGAGG